TAAAGTGAGTGGGAAAGCAAGAAAACACACAGAGGGAAAGAATGACCCTGCTGGGGGAACAGGTGCTTCCACACATCATCCACACATCATGAACCTGTGTTGCTCTCAGTTTTCCAAAGTGATCCATTCAGTACTTCCTTGAGGCTGATCGGAATACCATAGAGCTTATGGATGTCACACCAGCAGAAGAATACATTGGGCTGCAGTTTGAGCACTAACTATCTGCAGGGATGTTACCAGGCAAGGCTTCCCTCTCTTTAGGGAAGGCGAACTTGTTGCCTTCCTTCCATCCATGCTTGATGACAACAAGCAAGATCTTGCCCTCAGTGTGTGTGGCTCACCCATCAGAATAGACATGCCACTCTGATCTCCAATGGCCTTGCTGGAGCCATGGGGAGGCCTGGCCCTATCAGCTGGCGTTCATGATCTCGTGGAGAATCTTGGACTATGCACCAGGGATACAGATATGTAGGGGTCCCACATGGACCTACATAGAACACTTTCTGGTCAAGACTGTGCACTCACCACTGTACATACAGTGGTCTTTTGGGAAGGCAACTATATTAGTTGCTTCCCCCTTGCTGGGACATAATAACTGACAGCCACAACATACAAAAGGAGACGTTTATTTGGCTCAGTTACCAGGGTACAGTCTAAAGTTAGCTGGCTCCAAGGTAGAAACACGTAGTGGAAAAGTAGGGGGAGGAAAGCTGCTCATCCCATGGCAGCCAAGATGCAGAGAGAGAAGGGTGGAGCCAGGGTCAAAAATATACCCTTCCAGGTCACCCTCCCCACATTGACTACTCTCCTACGGGCACTTTAAGCTACTGAACTCATCAGTCCACAGGTAAGTCTGCATCCTCACGATCCAGTCACTTTATAAATACATGAGACTTGGCGGGGGGGGCATTTTAGATCTAAACCAAAATAGCAGCTCTCCTTGTATAGACTGGCGCTTAAAAATGGTTTGAGTTTCCCAAAGCGCACTTGAGGTGGTTGTCCCTCAAAAATTTGTGAAAGTTGGGTGTCAAAATAAGAACAAAACCAAAATGTATGTCCACTATAGCCCCTCATTCTACCATAGTTGTTCTTGTCCAGATTCATGCCCCTGCCTTTGCAGTACCTGCAGTTTAGGGCTGCAATTTAGAAAGCACACTTTGCAGAAGGCCTGGAAAGGACAAAAGTGGGAGGATCCCAAGGCAAAAAGCCTTGCAGCGGTGAGCAATTTGTGGAGGATCTCAACATCCATAGTGACAGGCTTCCAGTGACCTGGCCTCTAAATTTCTTGGCTGTCCTAGTTTAGGGCCCTTTCCCTCTGTTCCAATGCACTGCCATTTCCTAGAACTGTCACCAGCAAGACCTAAATGATAACCACTAAAAGGGTTATGAAGCTAACTTTTTTCAAAAGCAGAACAGTTGGCTCAAATTAGGCACACATTATATCTTGATATACTTTATCTACTTCTCTATGATGTTTATGTATCATTTATTTAGGTAAACAATGGGAAATATTTTCTTTAAAGTTTAAACTACACTACTGATTTGTTTACTATGCAGCTAAAAAAATTGTTTTTTGACTCATTGAAACAGCTTATTCAGGAAAATTACATGTTTTCTCTAAGGAGCTAGAGTTACAGAACTTAGTTGCTTAGAGGGAAACTAAGTTTCGGTGGGGTCACATATGTAGGTGGTGCAGAAGTTAATAAGTCTGCAGGTGAGGAGAGGTCTTCAGAACATGGGACGAGTCCTGAACTTTGTAGTAGTTAATTTTTAATTCAACTTGGCTGAGAAATAGGAATCTCAGATATTGATTCAACATTATTTCAACCTCTGAGGATGTCTCTGGAAGAGACTGGCCTTAAATTTATGCTCTGAGGGCTGGGGATTTAGCTCAGTGGTTCCGCCACCTGCCTCGCAAGCACAAGGTCCCGAGTTCGATCCCCAGTACTAAAAAAAAACAACCCCAACTACATTTATGCTCTGAATAAAGCAGACTAACATAATTTTAAGGATCATCATCCAATCTGCTAGACCTCAGTAGAGCAAAAATACAGATTTACTTCGCTCTTTGACTGCTGAGCTGGAGGTGCTGATTTCTCTCCTCTCCTCAGCACGTTTGATCTCAGCCCTTTAGAAATGGCTGCAGCAACGTCAACAGCTGTCCAGCTCTCAGGCTTTCAAATTACACCAGCAATTTCCTGATCTCCGGATTGCAGACAGCGGATTGTGTGAGTTCTCCGCATCTACTGCCGTGTGAGCTGGCACTCTACTCTAAATGTATCTCTATAAATAGATTCTGAAGCTCTGAAGAACCCTAACCAATAGGACATGAAGTTAGGGGACTAGTTAGCAGATTTTAAATT